TATATGTGATATACTATAGCACACTCTTCTGAAAGTGCCCATTTATGTGTGTGCTTCTCCTATTAGATTTTGGAGGACTGGGTTCCGGTCTCATTCATCTTTGTGTCAGTGTTTGCTGAGTGAACTGGAAACTCAGTGGATGGGTGGTGAATGAGTGCATCCCCAGGAGGATGAAGGACCCCAGAGCTAGTCTCCCATTCTAGTTTCCCTATCCCTCCCTGGATACCGCCCTCAAGTGCCACATCCCAATCCCTCCCTTGGTTCTCGCACACCCACACCCCCCCACCCTGTTCCCACTCCCATTCCCAGCCAGAACTGTCTCCTCTGCACCTTCTTGTCCTGCAGGTCCGTGGAGAGTTCGTAGCTGTCCGATAGGGCCTTGGAGCGCTTTATCTCCTCCTCCTCCTGCTTCCTCAGGGCGACACTGGCTGGCTGGAGGCGAGCTCGTTGAGCCCAGGGAAGGCCCACCCCAGTTGGCGGGCCCCCCATGTGGCTGCTGGTGGGGGGCATCTGGCTCAGCCGGTAGGGGGGTTGGCTCCCAGGACTATCAACCGCTGTGCTCAGGTCACTGCCTGGGGCATCACCCTCCACACTGTGGGGATGAGATAAGATGAGCCAGGATGTGGGACCAGGAGATGGGCCTGCTCAGCAAGACTGAGAGTGGGTAGACCAGATCCCTGCCCACAACCCCATCCTCCCCAGCTCCCTCACAGACACAGGAACCCCAGTATTTAAAGGCGGCAAGGGAGTTCCCCTCATTGCCCTTCAGCCCCACCACTCACAGCTCCGGCCTCTTAGACTCCTTTACCTCAAGGTTGGGTCTTCTCACAGGCTTGTCCCCAGTCCTACTCAACCCTCACACCTGGTCCCTTCATAGTCACGTCCCCTCCACAGCCTTATCCCCAGACTGGTTCCCTCCCAGTCTTGTCCACTCAAGTACCTTTTTCTAATAGTGCTGGCCCCTAACAATTCCATCCCCAAACCTTCCTTCCCTTGATGGACCAGTTCCCTCACAGTCCCATCCCTCTCAGCTCTAGCCCCTCATGGCTCTGTCCCCAACACTGCATGCTGTGGTTTCCTTCCCAGCCTGATCCCCCAGCACCGCCCAGATCAGCCCTGACCCCAGGCCTGGGACCCACTCCTGCATCCTGCACCTCCACACTCACCCCTCCCCTGCCTAGCCCGACCCCCTATAGCCCCACCCCTGCCCTCAGCTGCCTGGACACTGGTCTAGCCAGTTCCCAGGGTTCCCTGTCTGCAAGGGCTCAGGCTCCCAGACAGTGGGAGGCACCTCCCATTCAGCATCCTCACAGGTAAAGAGCTGCCCTGCGGGGCAACTTCTTTTTTCTCCTCATGGCCTCCTCTGCTCAGCTGGGGGAGGGGAGGGCAAGAGTCTCAAGGTTGAAGACTGGCAGGAGCTGGGCACTGGGCCTTGCCTGCCCTGGTTACTCAGAGCTGTTGTTCTGCCAGACCTGCTCCCATGGTGCCATGGCAACCAGGCTGCCAGGGAACCCAGGTGGCGGCAGAGCCCAGGTGCCCTGAGCCTAGCAGGCAAGGTGAGGAACCACAGAGGTGGGGAAAATGGGGGAGGGAGGTTGGGAGGGGAAGGACAGGTGGGTGAAGCATGGGGCTTGTGGGGGGAATGGGTGTGGCTGGGGCCCAGGGAATGAATGGTCTGGTTTGGGCGGGCACATGGTTGAAGGGGCCCTTGGTTGGAAAGGGTTAAGGGGCCACTCCCCAACCCCTACTTGGCAGAGGCCAGGGCACAGGGCAGGGCAAGCTGGGGTGGATGTAAGGGGACTCCCTACCAATATGGGAGCTTGAGCTGCAACAGACCTTCCAGCCTTGCAGGAGAGCACTCAGGGGTGCAGTGGGGAGGCTGTACCCACCCACCAGGCTGGGTCCTGGGCTGCAGGGGGAGAGCTCCTTTCCACCCCTAGTGGAGCCTCCCATCCACCATTCAACCTCCATCCTCCCAACGTCAGTCTATAACACTGCCAGGAGCAAGGCAGAAACAGACTGGGGAACCGCCCTCTACCCCAAATACTCTCTCCTCCTGGGCCTCAGGGCCTTGTGAAGTCCACTTTGGGGGTCAGACCTGGCCCAGCGCTCCCCCCACCAACCCAGGCATCTAAGGTGCTCCTCTCCACCTCACTCAGGACTGCAGGATACTGCCCAGCAACCTCTCAAAACTCTCCCTGTCAGCACACAGCTCAAACCCAGGTTTCCTCAATTGTCTCCTCGGTTCATGAACCATCCAGAGCTCCCACTGTCCACAAGAGATAGCCCAAGTTCGTTATTCTGGCATTTGAGGATTCTCAAAGATACCATAGCTAATGCTTATAGAGTGCTTAGCATGTCAGGCACTGTGCTTACCACTTCACATTTAATAACCTGTTTACTGTCCAAAAGAACCCTATGAGATAGGTATTGTGATTTATCTTCATTTTATACATAAAGAAACTGGGGCTCAGAGAGGTTAAGTAACTTATCAATGGTCACACAGCTATTAATGATAGACCCAGGATTCAAATCCAGGCGGTCAGTCTCCAGAGCTCACACTCTTCAATATTAAGCCATACTGCAAGCTTAGCTGCCAGCCCCCATCCCATCTACCCTTCCCTCCAGCCTGGCCCAGATCCTGTTTCTCCCAAATACTCCTCTGCTTTCCACCTCCAAAACTGCTCATACAGTACCTTCTGCCTGGAATACAGCCCTTATCATTTCTGCCATCTGCAATCTGAGAAATCCCCCCACACCCTACTTCTATCAAGATTCAGGTCATATGCCACCACAAGAAGCCCTCCTGAAGCCCACCTCCAGCCAGAAATTATTGCTGGTCCTGTGCAGAGCTCCCACACACAGCACATGTCTGTCCTTCTTTTTATGGTGCAGGTTAGCTTTGGCAAAGCATGACAACTATTTGTGTTCCCAGCACAAGAAGAGACTTTGGTAATCTAGCCAGCACAGAGCACAAGGCCGGGAACAGAGTAGCTAAAAGCTTCTGGAGTGAAGTAGTCAATGAATGGGCCATGGTGGCTATGCTAATAGATCCTCCCACCTGAGCCTTGACCTCCCTCTCCAGTGTCTTCTTCCAATCCATTCTCCATCCTGCAGCCAGAGAGAGCTCTCCAAAGTACAGCTTTGACCATTTTGTGCTCCCACTAAAACCCTTCCACAGCTCCTCATAATTCATTCAACGAACAATTGAGCATTTTCTATGCACCAGGCACAATGCTAGGTGCCAGAAATAAAATAGTGGACAAAATACATAAGATGTGTTCCCTGGGGAGGTGACATTCTAGTGAGAGAAGCAGACTATAAATACATACTGTTGGGGCGCCTGGGTGGCTCAGTTGGTTGAGCATCTGACTCTCAGTCTCGGCTCAGATCTTGACCTCACAGTTTTGTGAGTTCAAGCCCCCCATCAGGCTCTGTGCTGGCAGTGTGGAGCCTGTTTGGGATTCTCTCTCTCTCTCTCTCTCTCTCTCTCTCTCTCTGCCCCTCCCCTGTTCATGCTGTCTCTGTCTCTCTCTCAAAAATATATAAACTTAAAAAAATTTTTTTTAAATACATACTTTCCTTTCAGGTAGGGAGAAGTGCTAGGAAGGAAAATACAACAGAGGGATAAAAAGTGCTGTTTTCGATATTGTGGTCAGGGAAGGTCTTCTTGAAGAAGTGGCATATAAGCTGAGCCCCGATGGAAGTGAGGGAGTGAGCTCTGTGGTCACCTGAGGGAAAAGCAGTCCAGACAGAAGGTAGAGCTAGTGAAAAGATATAGAGTTGAATGGCACCTGCCATGTTTGAGAAACAGTAAGGAAGCCAGTGTAGCTGGAGCAAAGTGGATGAGGGGAGAGTGATAGAGAGGTAAGATCAGAGAGGTAATGGGGGCCAAATCATGAATGGTATTAAGCCCATGATAAAGACTTTGACTTTTTCACTCTGATTGAGATGAGCTGAGGAGGGACGTGATCTAACTTAGGTTTCATAGGAATCATCATCCATAGGATAACGTCTAACTTCCTTACCACAGCCATGGATGGTTCTGCTGACCTGACCCCTGCTTCATATTCCTCTGCCCCATTACTTCAACCTGGCTATGCTCTGCTCACCCTTCAACATTTAGCTCAGGTGTGCTCTTCCATGCCCACCTGCCCACTCCACACATGTTGGCTTTCAGGTCCTTCCTCTGCTGCCATAGGGCCTTATGGTCACCTCTATCCCTAGGGCAAGAGCATTAATGAGTTCATTAAATCCTCAAAATGTTTCGAGGCAGACACCATTAGCTCCATGTTATAGATGAGGACACTGAGGCTCAGAGAGGTGATAGAAACTTGCTCAAGGTCACACAGTTATTAGGTGAGAAAGTCAGGATGCAAACACAGGGCCCAGGCTGTCTTTTCATGACATCTCATTGCCTCTCCCCACTTCTGGCTTCATGTCGCCCCCAGGTCTTCACTCTTTGGCAATTCCTCCCTTCAGAGATGGCCCCCAACTCTGGTGCAAAGGGAATAGGGGCAGGGAGGTCAGACTGTCAGCACAGCCTCCCCCAAGAGGGCCTGGCAAAAAGGACAGTGCTTGAGGGTGTTGCCCCTGACATCATACGTACTGTTGAAGAAATAGCACCTGAGGATGTGGAATCCCTTTACTCAGGGTCCCCCAAAACACCAAAGGGCATGCTGATCACATGGAAAATCTCTCTTCTCTTCCTCATATGTGTGTGTGTGTGCGTACACACACACACACACACACACACACACACACACACACACACACACCGTACAGTAAAAGCTGGGCAGGCCTAGGTTCAGGTCTTGACTGCCATTTACCAGCTGTATGAGCCCAGGCACGTCCCTTTACCTCTCTGCACCTGTTTCTCTTCTGTGTAGGGCTAGAGGAAATGCAATTCCCTCTTTGGCTTCCTGGACTTCTGAAAGGGCCTGGGGGACCCCGCTCCCCCACCTCTGGACTCCTCCCAGTCAGGGGCAAAGAATATAAGAACACACACATACACACACACACACACACACACACACACACACACACAACACGTGTGCACTGTCTTCTGGGCTATTCTGTGGGGGAAACTGGAGAGCATCCTCTGCATCAGGGGAAATAAACTACGTTATACAAATAACCACAGTACAAAGCTGAAAGTCCTTAAGGCTGGGGAACAGAGGAAGTGCTGGGGGAGCTCAGGAGAGAGATTCCTTCTGCTTGGGGGTGGCTGAGCAGAATAAAAATAAACTCACACTCACAGTGCACCTTCCCTGTGTCAGGCATTTTCCACACATTATTTAATCTGCATGACAAACGTGAAGGAAGAATTAGTATTCCTACTTTGCAGGTGAGGAAAAAGGTTCTGAGGGGGAAAGTAACAGCCAAAGGTCTCAGAGCTAGCAAGTGGCAGAACAGGAATCCAAAGCCCAGAGCCTGTATTAGTTCCCTTGCTGCCTTTTATAAAGGCTTCCTGGAGGAGGAAGCTGTTGACCAGGGCCTTGCCTAGGAGGAACTGGTAGAAGTGAGTGACTTTGTGAGCCAAGGCACTAAGATAGGGAGAAGCAGGGTAGGATATTCTGTAGGGATTTGGGG